ACAGTTGAAACAGAAAGTAATAGAAAAGATCACTTCGAATGATCATTGCTTGAGAAGACTTTAATGCCAATTTGGCCAGAACAATCCATTCCATTGCCTTAGATTTTAATATCCCCTCAATTAAGCAACCAGATGTCTTCTGGGTCAATTAAGATGGATAAAGAAATGATATTTCAACATAGTGACATCCAAGGTTTTCTACGCCCAAGAGGAGACCAGAAAAAAAGAGGATGCTAATTAAGAGGGCTTTTGTCAGACACTTGACCAAGAGGGATGAGTTCTTCGTTACCGCTAGTAGGCATTCGAGCAAAAGGCTAGATGCTCAAAGCCACATTGGGAATTATAGCAGGTTTTGACTGAGTATCTCTGACCTTACTGAACTTCATGAGATCATTCGGGAAGACTATGCACGAGGAGGTTTATCATGTTAAGAGAAACTCTTCCTGGCCCCCAGGGAACTTCTCCAGCATTTTTACAGTACTTGCTGGCATTCGTTGTACTGCCAGTGCTGATGGCGTAGCTGATGTGGCCGAGGAGCCAATCTAATTAAGGTCGACTCGAAATATTTAATCGATTGATGCATTGATAATTGTACGAAATAGCTTATTTCGTAGCTTGGGTATGTCAAGTACCGATGGAGTATATATGCTTTCCTGAGAATGCTTGATTTTCATTGATTATTCAATTAAGATCGCTATTTGGTTGTTTCTTGTTCGCTAATATCATGGTTGACACATTCAAAGCAAGTGTAATCTCATCCAACAAATCTCAGGTCTGAGTACAATCAACTTAAATCATTTGTTCAATTATTGTCCTCGGATGTCCAAATATTGTTATTCTTAAAACGACCCCTTCAGTTGAAAGCCATTCAATCAGGTCTACCTCGGGTTTTCTCCGGTGTGTAGGAAGCTCTGCCGTAATTGTAACATGGGACAAAAGATGTCGGACTTGTTGGTCTAAATATGATCGCTTGGATCAGCAATGGCTCTCTCCTTTCATATATCTGAATATAGATTGCTATCAGCTAACGTCCTCTTCTAAGGAAAAGACATTCTCAAAACGAATACCTCTTCCTTCATACTTAATGGAATAATATGACTGTAACCGAACATGGGTGTGCATTCACAAAAATCCCGTTAAATTTCTCATGGGTGCAAAAGTAAAAAAAACTGAATGTCGTCTTAAAAATCGAAAACTGAACAAAACTGAACAAAACGAACAAAAAAACCATTGATAATAAATTATTACTAATTTTGAACCTTGTTCAAATAAATATTACTGTTTCGAATCGGTCTGTCCCTCAAAATTCAAGTGAATCTTAAATATCGGGGTGCATATAATTGTGTCGCCATACTCTTAACCAAAACGTAAATCAGAGAGCCGGATTCATTGTTATGATATGAAGTCAATTGAGAAACTGATAAGACGGCTCACAATATCATTCGACGTATTATTAAAGGGTGCTGCTGGAATAGTGAACCCAAACGAAGTCTTGCATAGGGTAGATCTTTCTTTAGCATCTTCGTGTTAAAACCTCGTCTCGAATTTTATCTAATATTCACTTGAAGATCTACAGTTATCGAAATTATCCCGATAAACTCTTTGTTAGGAAGAATGAAAGTTCTAATATGGTACATAGAAGTGAACTAGTAAGTAATGAACATAAAATAAAACTTATGGGTCCTGTCACAATGGCTAATACTTTGGTCATCTAGTGGAATGACGCTGAGAGAGTTAAGAAAAAATATCGCATTTTAATGATTCCTTGGATCCCAATACTTGCTCGAAGGAATGATTTTTTTAGGTTGGGATACACTTCACAGCTCTTTGCGTTGATAAATGAGATGCAGAGACCTGACCCACTTCCACTCGATCTTCAAATCAAAAATCTCATCTTGATTAATTGTGCAGAAGATGCCCATGAGCTCACCAAATTTCTAGCATGTGACTATTCCAGAGTTTTATCGCTATTTGGAGCTTCCATCACAATTAGTCCAGTACCTGGAGTTACACCTAAGAAAGCTACAGTTATCTAATCATCATTCCATTTACAAACAGAAACTCAAAATACTGAGTCGTCAATTGTTGTTGAAGATACACATCCATCTGTCATTCTAAGCTCAAGTGTTACTGTATTTATTCATGCAATGAAGTTCCTCACATTGGCATCCTCATGTCATAGGCGCGTGATATTTGAAGCCGGCTTTGTTCAAACCATTATTATCTAATACTCCTTACGAAGAAGTTCCACTTAGTAATTGCCCCAAGATTCAAAAACAAATTCATCAGGATTCTTCAACTGTTTTCTCTGACATGTCAGTTTCACCTTTACTTAGCTGCATCATTCCTTGTCCTTATTGCCACATATTTTATCTAGTCCAGCGTGTTTCGAACATGAGTAGTCTGACGTTGACATCGAAGCCAAAAACAGAAGATAGATGATTCCAGCTTCACCGAAGTGTTGGCGTGAACACAACGACGGATTCAATCTTTCTTGTTGCATTGGCCAAACAATGGAAGAAATGAAGAGGAAAATCTTCGTAATCCAACCCATTTGGAACGGATCAATCCTCTATGAAGACAGCGTAACCTCGGATATCAGTTATAGGCTGTTCAGAAGTGGTCTTCTTTCCAAGGATAATCTGACTCTCGAAGGGTGCGGGAACTCCATTATGCCCCGAGGGAACTTTCAATCCCAACTTTCGAAGCACTTGTGGCTTGAGTGACTACAAATTTGTATACCAGACTGACTTGCATGATAGTCCAATATTTGAGCATTGTTTTTTAATGCTTGCCAAATTGCCTTGTGTTGCGAACTTGCATGCACCAGGTCTCAACGAATTCTTTGAATACACATATGTCAAATAGATCGAACACATGAAATCGAAACCCCGCAATTCTACTTACAAGACCATCTGTATTGAAATGTACTTGCTCTATTTTTAGAAACGATACGTCACATTCTTTCTGTCTGAGAGATCGTCGATTGCTAACCTCTCACGAGCAAATCAATACATGTGTATCACTTCTGATTAACAAACGACGAGAACCTTCGAATATTAAGGTGCGCATATCGAGATTTACACTGGAGTCCCACATGCATCGGCCAGGAAAATACTTTCAAACAATAGGTTGTGCCGTGGAGAATTGGTTCTGCATAACACGTTCTGTAAATAGAAAGCTCAATTCAAAGTTGCAAAATTCATCTAGAATCTAAACGTCAAGCACAATCAAAGAGATAATCCTCCTGTTATGAATTAATGTCATAGATTCACGACGTTAATTGAACTAAAGCAGATGTTTGGAACATCCGAAATGTTGAAAATGAATGTTTGTGGGAAACAACAATTAACAAACTACACCGTATTCTGTGACGACAAGAAATATAATTTTTTCAAAAAAATTTGAATATACACGAGATTCGGACCCAGCAGAACTAATTTTATATACATAAGTCAGAAAGGGTGAGCAAGAACAAAAGTACGAACATCAAGGATGTTGTTTACTGACTCAATCCCTACACATGTGACGGAACACTTCACAGAAATATTGAAACGAGAAACAGTATTAGCTTTGGTGTATATGGCATCACGTATTAAATGATATCACAAACACCCAACAGAATAACCATTGACAGTATTTTGTTGGTCTTGAAATTAGGGTCAAGTGCCCAAGAACCAACCAAGGTACTGTTTCTGTTTGTAGGGACCTGGCACATAACAGTGCAGTTTTCCCTATTCTTAATACATGCCCCAAATTTGAATAGACGAAATGCGCATGAAACCTTGAGGAAGACAATTGTCTGGACCTGGCCATCTGACGGGGAACTAAGAGTATAATGTTGCTATTCTTATTTCTGATATATATTGAAATTCTTCAACGTAAAACTTGGCTTTATACTGACACACTAAAGAATTCTGAAATTCATAAGAGTTATGGTAAGCTACTAAGTAAACCGATAACCGCTTGAAAAATAGGAGACACCATAGAAGATGGTGTCATATTCAATTTGAGTATTAGCGAAAACTTTCACATTCTCTCAACCCTTCCTGACTCAATCTTTTTTTGCTGGCTCATCTCCCCTCGTTAATGAAATACCTCGATTCTCAAAATTTTATTACTCAGTTCACATATGTAATTATTCACCATTGGTTAGATCTCATACCATGGTCACACTTCTTATAGCAAAGTTACGAACCGATTTGAAATTTGGAGTGGGTGGCCGTTACCACTATGCACCAGTTGCATTTCTCCTGCATCAAAGATGGATCACGCTGGATTGAACCCTTTTAACAATAAGCTTGACATAACTTTGGATCAATAGTAACTTTAGCACATATCATCTTGAAGCTAGGTATACACCCATCGTAGAGGATTCGCCTTGTCTTCCCGCCGTGTAAACATAAAGAAAATTGATGAATAACGCTATGAATTATCCCTGTTCTAAAGCGCAATATAAGAGTCGGGGGTTGAATAAGCTTTTGTGTATTTACTACTACAGGTTCATGCGGTCGTAAACTCCTGCAAGGCAACTCTATTCTTTTTGAAAAATCAAATCCCAGAATGGGACAGAATTTCCTTCTGTTCAGGATACTTGCATAATTGCTTTCCTTATTTGAAGAGACCTATTGTTCTTCGAAAACACTGCAGATCTTTAAGATTTCACCTTCCCCTTGTTCCCTTGTTGCTCACCAACTCTCTTTCCATTCATGCTGCGTGATTAGTACTTTTGAACTATCGAGAATTTGAATTAAGCAGCTTTGGCCTGGTAATAAAGGTCATAGCGAAGATCACGCGCAGAAAACGAATTGATATCCAGAGATGAATTATTGTGTCGAAGTAAGTCTTTTGCGCCGTTCTTGGCTCTCTGCGAGCGGACATGCAGGACATTTGAGAAGGTTGCAGCCAAAGTGTCTGGGGTACCTCATTACTAACACGAAAACTTTATATATATACATGGTAAGAAGTAAAGGTTTTCAAAAGATACCTCACCTAAGAAAATGCACTGGAGACCTTTGGTTGCTTCAATTTTTCTTTGGTGTTCAGCATTTGCTGTTGATATCACTCAAGACACGGTGGTGATTAGCCCCATCAACTTGCAGCTTGGAGATCTCCATGTATTCCCGGATGTATACTACTCTATCGTGAACAATTTATTGACCACTATTGGCGGTAGTCTTCAAGTTGATAGCGGCGGTGCGTTCTACGTCACTGCTACAAACCTGCTAGCAGCTTCTGTTGCTTTGGCTTCTGGAACAGTGCTTAATGACGGTGATATTGCTTTCAACTCCCTCCAATCGACATTAGTCAGTACCTACAGTATTGCGTCCATTGGAAGTTTTGTCAATAACGGGAATATGTGGCTTGGTATGACGGGTTTTTCGTTGACTCCTCCAATAACTCTTGGATCCGCCACTACTTTCATCAACAATGGAAAAATTTATATGAGGCAAGAGAATGGGAGCCCTTCTTCTTTAACCATATCAAATGCGTTAGGAACGGTGAATAATGAGGGCACAATTTGTTACTACAACTTGAATTGGGCTCAAACCACCTTCATTCTGGGAGCTGGTTGCATCAATGTCATGACTAATTCAGACTTGAGGTTGAATTTTCTCCTGTATAATATTGGTGCTAACCAGAAAATCTACTTGTCAGACTCATCGTCGAAATTAGAAATTTTTGGTTTGTCGCCTTCCTTAACGGGTTCTTCTTTTTATACGGTTTATGGATTCGAAAATGGGAACAGAATCGAGGTTAATACTGGTTTTACTAACTACGATTATAACTCCGGTACAGGTGTTTTAACTCTTTCGTTCTTTGCTGGACTTTTCTCTATCTCGATTAATATTGGACCAGGTTATAATCTGAATCTTTTCGAGACAAATGGTTTGTTCAACAGTGGTACTCAGATATGGTACACTGGAACAACTACCAACGAAGCACCAGCCATTTGTTCTTGTGATGTTTTTCCAGACCCACCAGTGGATGAGATAAGTTCTTCAAGTGAGGAATCTACTACTAGTGAGGAATCTACTACTAGTGAAGAATCTACTACTAGTGAAGAATCTACTACTAGTGAAGAATCTACTACTAGTGAAGAATCTACTACTAGTGAAGAATCTACTACTAGTGAAGAATCTACTACTAGTGAAGAATCTACTACTAGTGAGGAATCCACTACTAGTGAAGAATCTACTACTAGTGAAGAATCTACTACTAGTGAGGAATCTACTACTAGTGAAGAATCTACTACTACTGATGAGTCTACTACTAGTGAGGAATCCACTACTACTGATGAGTCTACTACTAGTGATGAGTCTACTACTACTGATGAGTCTACTACTACTGATGAGTCTACTACTACTGATGAGTCTACTACTAGTGAAGAATCCACTACTACTGATGAGTCTACTACTAGTGATGAGTCTACTACTACTGATGAGTCTACTACTACTGATGAGTCTACTACTACTGATGAGTCTACTACTAGTGAAGAATCTACTACTAGTGAGGAATCCACTACTAGTGAAGAATCTACTACTAGTGAAGAATCTACTACTAGTGAGGAATCTACTACTAGTGAAGAATCTACTACTACTGATGAGTCTACTACTAGTGAAGAATCCACTACTACTGATGAGTCTACTACTAGTGAAGAATCCACTACTACTGATGAGTCTACTACTAGTGAAGAATCTACTACTAGTGAAGAATCTACTACTAGTGAAGAATCTACTACTAGTGAAGAATCTACTACTAGTGAAGAATCTACTACTAGTGAGGAATCCACTACTACTGATGAGTCTACCACCGGGGAAGAGTCTACGACTACCAATGAGGGCCTCACTGAGTTCACCACTACATGGACCACCACCAACAGTGATGGATCTGTTGAGACTGATTCCGGTGTTGTGATTGTTAGCACTGACTCTGCAGGTTCGTTCTTCACCACCACTTCCGAGTTCCCTAACTTGACTACTTACACTACTACGTGGACCACCACCAACAGTGATGGATCTGTTGAGACTGACTCCGGTGTTGTGATTGTTAGCACTGACTCTGCAGGTTCGTTCTTCACCACCACTTCCGAGTTCCCTAACTTGACTACTTACACTACTACATGGACCACCACCAACAGTGATGGATCTGTTGAGACTGACTCCGGTGTTGTGATTGTTAGCACTGACTCTGCAGGTTCGTTCTTCACCACCACTTCGGAGTTCCCTAACTTGACTACTTACACTACTACGTGGACCACCACCAACAGTGATGGATCTGTTGAGACTGATTCCGGTGTTGTGATTGTTAGCACTGACTCTGCAGGTTCGTTCTTCACCACCACTTCCGAGTTCCCTAACTTGACTACTTACACTACTACGTGGACCACCACCAACAGTGATGGATCTGTTGAGACTGACTCCGGTGTTGTGATTGTTAGCACTGACTCTGCAGGTTCGTTCTTCACCACCACTTCCGAGTTCCCTAACTTGACTACTTACACTACTACATGGACCACCACCAACAGTGATGGATCTGTTGAGACTGACTCCGGTGTTGTGATTGTTAGCACTGACTCTGCAGGTTCGTTCTTCACCACCACTTCGGAGTTCCCTAACTTGACTACTTACACTACTACGTGGACCACCACCAACAGTGATGGATCTGTTGAGACTGATTCCGGTGTTGTGATTGTTAGCACTGACTCTGCAGGTTCGTTCTTCACCACCACTTCCGAGTTCCCTGGAATAGTTACCTCTTATACCACTACATGGACCACCACCAACAGTGATGGATCTGTTGAGACTGATTCCGGTGTTGTGATTGTTAGCACTGACTCTGCAGGTTCGTTCTTCACCACCACTTCCGAGTTCCCTAACTTGACTACTTACACTACTACATGGACCACCACCAACAGTGATGGATCTGTTGAGACTGACTCCGGTGTTGTGATTGTTAGCACTGACTCTGCAGGTTCGTTCTTCACCACCACTTCCGAGTTCCCTGGAATAGTTACCTCTTATACCACTACATGGACCACCACCAACAGTGATGGATCTGTTGAGACTGATTCCGGTGTTGTGATTGTTAGCACTGACTCTGCAGGTTCGTTCTTCACCACCACTTCGGAGTTCCCTAACTTGACTACTTACACTACTACATGGACCACCACCAACAGTGATGGATCTGTTGAGACTGACTCCGGTGTTGTGATTGTTAGCACTGACTCTGCAGGTTCGTTCTTCACCACCACTTCCGAGTTCCCTAACTTGACTACTTACACTACTACATGGACCACCACCAACAGTGATGGATCTGTTGAGACTGACTCCGGTGTTGTGATTGTTAGCACTGACTCTGCAGGTTCGTTCTTCACCACCACTTCGGAGTTCCCTAACTTGACTACTTACACTACTACGTGGACCACCACCAACAGTGATGGATCTGTTGAGACTGATTCCGGTGTTGTGATTGTTAGCACTGACTCTGCAGGTTCGTTCTTCACCACCACTTCCGAGTTCCCTAACTTGACTACTTACACTACTACGTGGACCACCACCAACAGTGATGGATCTGTTGAGACTGACTCCGGTGTTGTGATTGTTAGCACTGACTCTGCAGGTTCGTTCTTCACCACCACTTCGGAGTTCCCTAACTTGACTACTTACACTACTACATGGACCACCACCAACAGTGATGGATCTGTTGAGACTGACTCCGGTGTTGTGATTGTTAGCACTGACTCTGCAGGTTCGTTCTTCACCACCACTTCGGAGTTCCCTAACTTGACTACTTACACTACTACATGGACCACCACCAACAGTGATGGATCTGTTGAGACTGATTCCGGTGTTGTGATTGTTAGCACTGACTCTGCAGGTTCGTTCTTCACCACCACTTCCGAGTTCCCTGGAATAGTTACCTCTTATACCACTACATGGACCACCACCAACAGTGATGGATCTGTTGAGACTGATTCCGGTGTTGTGATTGTTAGCACTGACTCTGCAGGTTCGTTCTTCACCACCACTTCCGAGTTCCCTAACTTGACTACTTACACTACTACATGGACCACCACCAACAGTGATGGATCTGTTGAGACTGACTCCGGTGTTGTGATTGTTAGCACTGACTCTGCAGGTTCGTTCTTCACCACCACTTCCGAGTTCCCTGGAATAGTTACCTCTTATACCACTACATGGACCACCACCAACAGTGATGGATCTGTTGAGACTGATTCCGGTGTTGTGATTGTTAGCACTGACTCTGCAGGTTCGTTCTTCACCACCACTTCGGAGTTCCCTAACTTGACTACTTACACTACTACGTGGACCACCACCAACAGTGATGGATCTGTTGAGACTGACTCCGGTGTTGTGATTGTTAGCACTGACTCTGCAGGTTCGTTCTTCACCACTACCTCTCAGCTTGCGGATCACACTGATGTTGTCATTTGTCGCAGAGATGATGAGGATTGTGTCTCCTTGACCTCTTTCATAACCACATGGACTACCACTAATGCCGACGGTACCGTTGAAACCGATTCCGGTGTTGTCATTGTGACTACTAACTCAGCTGGATCATTGTACACCACCACATCGGAATTCCCCAAGTTGACGACTTATACTACAACATGGACCACCACTAACCCTGATGGCTCAGTGGAAACTGACTCTGGAATCGTTATTGTGAGCACGGACAACGCAGGCTCGTTCTTTACGACCACATCGGAATTCCCCAAGTTGACGACTTATACTACAACATGGACTACCACTAACCCTGATGGCTCAGTGGAAACTGACTCTGGAATCGTTATTGTGAGCACGGACAACGCAGGCTCGTTCTTTACGACCACATCGGAATTCCCCAAGTTGACGACTTATACTACAACATGGACCACCACTAACCCTGATGGCTCAGTGGAAACTGACTCTGGAATCGTTATTGTGAGCACGGACAACGCAGGCTCGTTCTTTACGACCACATCGGAATTCCCCAAGTTGACGACTTATACTACAACATGGACCACCACTAACCCTGATGGCTCAGTGGAAACTGACTCTGGAATCGTTATTGTGAGCACGGACAACGCAGGCTCGTTCTTCACGACCACATCGGAGTTTCCAAGCAGTCCTACAGACACCGAGTATACCACCACCTGGACTACTACGAACAAGGGTGGCACTATTGAGACTCACTCTGGAGTTGTTATCGTGACAACCGATTCTGCTGGAAGCTGGTACACTAGTACATCGGAATATCCAGATTATACTCGATATACTACTACGTGGACAAGTACCAAGGTTGATGGCTCTCTCGTGACTGATTCTGGTGTCGTAATCGTGACTACTGATGTCCATGGGTCATTGTACACTACTACTTCAAAATTTGGTGGAATAGTCACCTCTTACGTCACTACCTGTGTCACTACTAAGACTGATGGTTATGTGGGTACTGATATTGGTATTGTTGTTGTCAGCACTGACAATAAAGGTAGCTTGCATACCACTACATCATTATTTGTCTCTGGAGTCAAATCCCAGGCTACAGAATGGACTACAACACTTGTTGAGGGCGTTACAACGACTGTATACGCAGATGTTATTGTTACTACAGATAAGTCTGGAAAATTGTTCACAACTACTTCCTTCTCAGATAAGGGAGCAACAACAGTGTACTCAACTCATAATGAATATGGAAAAGTGGAAACTTATACTGTTATTGTGAAGCCCACAAATGATGCAGCAGGCAATGTTATCTTGACTACTGCATCAAATGGGGACGAGTCCTCAGAGACAGTTGTACTTTACGTGACCACTCGTGCAGATGGAGTGGTTGAAACAATCGCTAATGCGGCAACACAGAAGCCTACTTCAGTGACTACACTGCCAGCCTCATCAAGTGGGGGTGCTAATGCAGGGGGTTCAATTACAACTGGGTCTTCCAGTGCAGATCACACATTGCTTGAAGGAGCAGCCTCCACAAATTCCCTCAGCTTAGGTGCAATACTTGGCATCATCGTATTTGCAATGATATGACCTAATATCCTTTGATTCATGGGCAATTTTAATTTCGTCAAGTTCTTATCGGTTTGTTTTATTTGGGACTTATAATTGGATTCTTCAATATATTTAATGGGTTTCTTGAAGATTAGTAGAATGACGTAATTTTCAAAGGGATTAATTTCTCAAGGTTTCTTTGAAGCCGAGTTTATCAGAAATTGGCAAGAAAATGGGCTTGTTAGGATCTAGAAACTTTCCCTTCAAAAAAGAGAAGAACCAGTCGATTTACAAGATATGAAAGACCGAAAATCTGTCTTATAGGCTGAAGATTCATATAGTGAGAAAAGTCATGTATTCAATTGATTGCTTCAGGTGAGATACATACTAGGCATACGCTTTTCCCGAGTTTCGTGGTTCCTATACCATATTCACGTACTAGAGTTCACAACATAGTTCAGTTTTAGATTAGACCAGAACTCTTAATGGTATGCCTCTTCATAAACTTCCATGGACGGTAAATGAGATTATAGTCCCAGGATGTGTTAGTCTGAGATGCTGTCTGGCTGGACTGCTTTTGATCCTACTACTGGATTTTGAACTTTGAATTGTTGGAATCCAGAAGAATCATGGTTGCAAGATTGTTAAGTCTATTCAACAAAATCAGCAAGTTGGGATTAATTCAAAGTTTGTCATGAATGTGGTAGATTTTTCAATTTACAGCGTTATAATACAATGGCCACCTTGAATTTGAAGTAAGTTTCGGTCTTCATACGCTTGCAATGTTACAATATCAATAGCAAATATCTTTGACTTCTCATACGTCGAACCAAGAGACTTGATTCGACGTATGATAATCTGTTGGGTGCCTTGATTTGCAGAACTAGTCATTTTGGGATCTCGATCTTGCGCAATTCTGTCAGTACATCGAAATTCTATTCTATGCTTGATCAGCACCAAAAAATTTTACTCTTCAGTACAACGACACCTAAAACTTCAGAATATATCCCTAGTCATTAATAATGGACTCAGTTAATCAAGCACCCAATGAAGTCCCTTCTACAGTGCTTAGGTGAAAAGTTTGGGTAGGAGAACTTTACGTAGAACAGATAACTGTCACTTTGCCGCCACTTTGCAACCAAATATATATGTTGTGAAACCAAGCTCGCTGGATATTTGATAGCTAGATCTTTGAATTCTTTTGCACTACATAATGCAAGGACTTTGAATCAATGATATTTACCAAAACAGCTTGGTGGGATTCGTTGCCGAGTATCCATTCTGATTGCTCTCAAGATATTCACGAAAGCTAATCTTCCATTCTTGCGAGGTTGAGGCTCAGAAGAAATGCTGACCAACATTTCCAATTAGATGACGGAATCTAAGGGAGAAGGATTGGTTTTAGGGTTCAACTTAAGTACATTTTCAGTCATCTGCAAACTCCATATTCTTCTACTTTAGAAACAGTCATCCAAGTAAATTAAAATTCATTTTGAATGCCTACAAGTAATTGGAAAAATGCTCCCCCCTCTCTCTCTCTCTATTCAAGCGGGAAATTGTTCCAGTTGTGGTTATCAAGAGATTCGTCTGGGAGCAAATATGAAAATCTTGAATAATAAGAAGAAGGAAAATGAATTATGGCAACCAGGATCAAGGTAATTAATTGCCCGTAAATAATACTTAAGTATGCTTCGCTTAAGAAATTAGTTCAGGGAGAAGTGGACAGACGTATGTCGGGGAAATATTTTTTCGGGCCACATTGAACTTAGTACTGTTTTGGATCTGCGACGTTGTTTCATTGGCTAAATGGTCAGAGGTACATTCGATACCCATTGCTGAAAGCAAAAAATACCATATGTTGGGCGGGGCAATACTAGTAAGGAAATCGACTAAGAGAAGTATGGGGGATTCGAGATTAGTCCAGGAAAAGCTTTGTACAAATTGAAAGTTTTAAAGATGAACTTCCAAACTGTGTCAGAAATGAAAAATGGCTAAAATTTGATGATGTAGAGACTTTAAGCGTTATAGATGTGGATTTGATATCGATTATCGTGAGAATCTGTAGACCCAAAAACTCAATTAAAGAAATAAACAGAACAGTATTAACCAAGAACTGACTTCGAAGGACTCATGAGTATTCGGAATATTAGGCACCCGAGCAAACCTCCGAATTACCTCAGCTTAGTTGCTATTGAGACACTGGCGGGGATAGAGGGGCTTGACTCGAGGTTGTACAAGACAAGTAAAAAAAAAGGTTATTAGTAAAATATCATAGAGGTTACTAACTCGAGACAGGTGTGATTACAACCATGGTATTAACCTCGTAGACCGTGGAAGTGCATTACACGACGTGAATTGAAGATTCAGCACTAGCAAACACATAAATATGTAGATCTATGCCCTTTTTTCCACAAATTGTTGAATGAAAATTCCCGGTACGGATCTACAAAGATGAACAGAAACCCGACTTGGCAACCTTAATGCTCAATTTACGATGATATAGAACAAAGCTCAAAACCACAATGCTTGTACCTTTGTTGATGAATCCAAGATTTGAGTACCAGAAATGGTAGTATTGTAACATTGATCATAGTGTATTTATTGGAACACCTAATACCTTGCTGGACCTATTGACCTTCTTGACCATCAAAATTTATCGACTTAAGCAGTTAAGCGACTTAGTTCCCTATATAGTTCTCAATATATGTCAACAGTATCTCGGAGCATGCAAGAATTGCGAAGCAAGAAGATCATTACAAACCTAAAAATGGATGAAACAAAGTGTGATAGATCTGAAAATGTGGAGTGCGTTTTATTTTAGGGTCCCACTCTCACGAAATAGGAAACGTTTCCAGGCAATGATCACCTGTTTTCTCTCCAATGGGGCAACACGCCCTATATTTCCTCTCAACAACCAATCGAGAAGATAAAGAATAGCGAAGAGAGGGGTAAATGGTGAATAGAGAAATACACAGCAAGGAATGTATATATAAATGGCCACGAGGTTTCCGCTCGATATCAAACATCCATCCAAAGTAGCTTAACAAAATGCCTGAATACTCTGCATCAGAGTCTCCAATTGAAAAGAGACAAAGCAGTGGTGAGAATATCCTTGGTGGTAATGAGGTATCTGTACATGACTTCATTGCAGAAAGTAGACCTTGGTACAAGGTGCCTCACTTGAGACAGTTGTCATGGGCAATTTTCTTAATTACTATTACATCTACCAACAATGGTTACGATGGTTCTATGTTGAACGGTTTGCAATCTTTGCCCTACTGGCATTCTGCAATGGGTAATCCAACTGGACACAGGCTCGGTGCCTTGAGTAATGGTGTATTGTTTGGTGGTTTTGCTTGCATGCCTTTTGCTCCTCTCTTCACTGATCGTTTTGGAAGAAGAAATGCTGTTATTCTCGGACAGGGTTCTACTATTGTTGGTGCTATCTTGCAAGGTGCCTCGACAAATTACGGTTTCTTTTTGAGTTCGAGAATCATTCTTGGTCTTGGTGGAGCTTTTTCAGCCATCGCATCACCGGCTTTAATTTCTGAGTTAGCCTACCCTACCCACAGAGAAGTTTCCACTTTTGTTTACAATGTCTGCTGGTACTTAGGTGCTATAATTGCAGCATGGGTTACCTACGGTACTAGAGTCATTAATAATGATGCCTCCTGGAAGCTTCCATCCTATTTGCAAGGAGCTATGCCACTTTTCCAGATCTGTTTTTGCTGGATGATTCCCGAGTCTCCCAGATTTCATGTCGCAAAGGGAAATGTTGAAAAGGCTAAAGCTTTTTTATCTAAGTATCATATTGGAAACTCTCAGGATCCTCAGCATATTGCATTGGTTGAGTTTGAGTTGAAAGAGATTGAAGTTGCATTGGAACTGGAGAAGCTTAACTCTAGGATTTCTTATTTGGACTTCTTCACTAAGAAGAGCTTCAGAAAGAGATTTTTCCTTTTGGCTATGGTTGGTGTCATGATGCAGCTTTCTGGGAACGGTTTGGTATCATACTATTTAGTTAAGGTTTTAATTTCCATTGGGATTACCGAGGAGAAGAAGCAATTGCAGATTAATGGTTGCTTAATGATTTATAACTTTGTCATTTGTTCGACATGTGCTTCGGTCGTTCGTTATTTCAAAAGAAGAACAATGTTCATTGCGTGCGTGGGTGGTATGTTGCTTTCTTTCGTGATCTGGACAATTTTATCGGCTATCAACCAGCAAAGGGATTTCAAGGACAAATCCTTGTCGAGAGGCGTTTTAGCAATGATTTTCTTCTTCTTTTTGTTCTATGATATCGGATTAAATGGCTTGCCATACTTATATGTTACCGAAATTTTGCCATACTCTCACAGAGCAAAGGGTCTCACCGTCATGCAATTTTTCATGTTGGGGGTTTTGATCTACAATGGATATGTTAACCCAATTGCCATGGATGCCATTGAGTGGAAGTACTACATTGTGTACTGTTGCATTCTTGCTGTTGAACTTCTTATTGTTATCTTCACTTTCCCAGAGACGTCTGGTTACACCTTGGAGGAAGTGGCACAAGTTTTCGGCGACGAGGCACCTGAACTCTCTAACAGACACCTTAGTGCTGTTGAGGAGCAGAAGGCTTCCTTGGAGCAAGCAGAACGTGTTTAATCTTATGTGTTTATAATGTGATTTTTACGATTTTTTGATACTTTAGAGAGACCCATCAAATTATGAGGACCATTACCTAGTGTAGTTCAGGATGGTTTTGGAGGCTGATTCATGAATTCTTGTTAATTTTTCCTCGTAAAGCAGCAATATGCCGTTACTGGGACATGGTAGTCGCCGCCTCTTTTAGTTCATCCTAGCTTTCATTGACAATCAAACAAGGAGTCTTGGATTTTATGAACTCGAGAAGAGCCAATAATACAGGCAACGTTGTCATATTGATTTTGAGTCAAATACTGGTTATTGAGCGTGCCCACAAGTAGAGATAGCCTTAATTTGCCGAGCACCCTCGGACTGTTCGTGAACTAGACGATATTGTGACCATTTCTGACGTTCTCTCTTCGGTACGTTGTTACGCCTTTTCTGAGAATCGAGATTGTCACAGACTACATTTTTATCACTTCTTCAGGTACTAATGATAAAACTGTTTGACTTTGTAGTGTAATCCAAAACTGACTCTTGGTAGATAAGGACCCAATCAAAGTGTTCTCAAACCATCTAACCTTCCATCATAGCAGTAGAGTGAATATTCATGGTCGTAATATGCCACTTTCTTCTGATTCTTTTGTATGACTCGTGCACTGAACTAAATATGATGAAAAGGTTTCCTTTGCTAGTAGTTTAAATGAGAACCTCTACCAGTACACAAGTAATTGCCGTGGTGGACCAAACTTTGGTTCTAGGTTGAAAGCCCTGGGTGGTGATAAGAAAAAGGCCACAGAACGTTATGAGGAAATCAAGCGTTTCAATAAGTGTGTAGATGGAGCAATGAATGAAAAGTTTTCATCATAGTTTATTGCTCGTTTCCGGCAAACTTGTGGTTACAAAAGTCTGGGGGGAAGCGCTGCGGTCCGGTATGTCTCCTTGATCTGTTTGTGGGTGGTCTGCGTTGCATAATAACGCAGATTTACACACAGTCCATGCATTACGCTGTTTGAGCTGATTTCGAACCGACCGTTGAAGTAAGTTTGAAACCATTTCGTGATATATAATCTACCCATGCCCGGTAGACAAAGTTGTGAGTGAATGAGTGTCAGCGAATTTGATAATCTTAATTTGTTAATTATTGTGCGTTAGTCGTAGATATTGCGAATTCAGCTCTGCAATACTGTATGGGGGCATAAAATGTCATACTAATGTCTTCCCGAGAATTGTTAACAGCTAGTTTCCAGCAAATCGAATGAATAAAGTCGGAAAGTCATAGGTTGTGGCTCCAAGGCAGAAACGTTGTTGGACAAGTGCCTTGAGAACTTGCAGCCTCGGAATTGCAGCGTATCTAGAAGAGTAATATCTTCTTCTGATGGCTTCGAAACAGCATATCCAATGACTATTGAATTTCGAATCTGATTAGTTTTCAGGAATAGAAGTAGGAGCTTATCACATTTGATCTGATACAACATCAAGTTCTCAAACATATCTTTGTTGAAATTGAATTACTCAAAATGTAGTATAGAATGACATCAGGAACAAACTGATAGTAAACGAACTGACTCATACGTAACTACAAGAGAAAATAAGTTAAGAAATTTCAACTACTGGGACTACTATGTTGCTTCAAATCAACAGAGGGAAATCAGAAGACAAATACTAGTTAATATTTTGATGGGTTGAATGAAAGAAAAAAAAGAGTTAGGAAATAAAGATGGAACAGAAATTGTGTAGCTTTGAAGAACATAAGTGGTATTTTAGAGGAGCAAAAAATAATATCAAGACGTTTTCTAGTAGGTTACCAAGGAGCGTGGCCTAATCTTCTACAAAGTGAGAGGGGTTGAAAAGGCGTTTTGATTCAGAGAAACGGGAAAGCTCTCAGTGAAGGGATGGGATATATCCGTCTGTAATGAACACTCATAATTCAAGAGAGAGTAACTTTACAATGAAAAATGATCAAGGGAGCATTAAACGTAACATTCTTCTCTAGGGAATAATGTAACACCACGAATTACATACAATTATTTTTTTAGCATTGTTCATTCTTATAATCTATTTATCCTTAGGAAACATATGTTCAAATAATTTCTAAATACCAGTAACATTCACCATATCACTTTGAAGATTGGTTATTAACAATCGAGCTTTGAATGATTTTTGTATTTCTTCATTTTCTGAATTTTTTATATTTTCTATATAATCTTTACATTTTTCTTGATTTTCTAATTCTATTGAAAAATTTATATCTAGAAAAGTTGTTTTTACTTTATTTTTATATATAAAAAATTCGTACGTTTCAGTATTAGCTCTCATTTGTTTTCTGTATGCTTCTTCTTCAGTTCCATAATCGTAAATTAATGTGCCAATCACAAAATCACCTAAATGCTTTTCAGTCTCACATAAAAATTCTCCTTCGTTAAAACCCACTCCTCTGTAATAATCAACATAAGTTGCTATCTCCCACATATTTTCTAATTCCATATATCTATAGATACTAGTATATAGACACTTCACTTTTTTCATTCTTTTAGTTATTTCAAAGTATAATACTTCATATTCATACATTTTTACATTTTCTAATTTTTTTAAAATTTCTTCATATTTTTTACATTTTATCACTTCAAGATATTTAAATAAATTTACTTGTTTACACTCATCCCATAAATCGTCTTCTGAGATCTCTAGATCACAGTCTAACAAAAAAATAAGTATTCTATTCATTATCTTAATGTGAGGTGCGTTGTTAGTTCTTGTATCCTGTGAATCCTTCAGGTACCAAATGCACTCTTCGGGGAGCTTATCAGGTGCGGGCGAATTACTTCTGTTCACTATTCCGCGAAAATGTCTATTCGAGAAAGCCGTTCGCTTGCAATTTGGTCTCCAATTCGACCAGAATTCGAGAGTACAAGCTAGTGCCTTCGATGCGGAGTCAGGGAACTTCGAATTGTGGATTGCCCATATGAATTTTTCGGCGAAGAACTTACGTAGACTAACAAGATCGAGATGAAATATTACTGAGTTATACGCGAATAACTTTCAAGAAGGTCACTTGACTCATTGAAACAGGCTTCCGCGGCGATAGAATACGATACTTAGCAAAAACCACGAAAGAGTGACGCTGAACTTCAAGTCTAAAACGATCTCTAGTAAGGGTTCAAGATCTCCAATACATCAAATCTCACTCATAATGTATACTTATCTATTGATATTAATCTTAATGACGTTCAACTGATCATCGTTCAACTGATCATCGTTCAAAATCATACGGAGGAATGCATGAATTAGATCTGAAGCATCCTCTTTGGCATTAGTAATTATTGTTAACACTCAATATTGATAGGTTAGTAACGTTGGAACTCTGAGTGAGGCAATACACCAATTCGCTACAAATGCGGACTTGAGCGACTCAAGGCAAAGCTAACTGAGGGATGGAAATGGCAAATTCACTAAAAGCGTTACAAGAATTAAATGTGCTCAACACGGACTATTGTGTTTCAGGTTCAGTTTGTAATTTGTTCTCGCCAACATTCGATGTGAATACCAGAACTGAGACAGCAATCACTTTGGGTTCATGATAATCCACTATGTGGTCTAAGTTTCAAATTTAAGTACATAACTCTTTCATTAGTGTATTGATGCTAGATTAACTTAAAGATATAGTTAAACAACAGATTATTAATTACATATTATTTCCATGTCGAAAAGAATTCGAATTTCTAGGGTAAAGCATTATTAACCAAGATGATTCCCGATCCGCAGTTATTATAGACATTCTTTTATATGTGATCACCACAATAACTTGCTCTTGTTTCACTTCTTGCAGCCCTTTTTATAGATGCATAAAACTATATTTCGAAAGGGAAGAAGGTCTAGTCTCTGATTCAATGAAAGCAAACTAGGACAGGTGGCTTTATTGCGTGATCTAAGGAAGCTAAAGAAGAATATTCAAAAATTTTAATACTGTGAGAGTGGGATGTTAGTCAGAAACGCATATTGAACAGCCGCTAATTAATAAAGCAATGGAAAACAATAGTAATTGAAGAACATAGGACCAGGCGGAAAAGGGGTGGCCGATTAGTTGGGCAGATAATGAACAGCTAATCATCGTACAGTGTCTCCAGAAGAGTCGCCGGATCTCTTACTAAGTTGTACCTACGGTTTCAGTTGTAGAATATCATTTTGGTACTTCCTTTAATAAAGCAGACAATATTACAATGTGTGCAAATGAAAACAACAAATAAATGAAATTAATAGTCAAGATCGTTAGGTGGTAATGTAATAAGGGTTTTTTTAAATAAAAAAATAGTACAGATAGTTAAACCCGGGGATATGTATATCAATAATATGAAATTCTTACAATCACAATCATACTACAATAATTGAGACTTCAATCACCCACACTCACCATAACATACATATCATCCCAGGTACCAAACATTGGGCAATGGGGTCGCGGAAAATTCCACCCCCCTATTCCCCGTCCTGTTGCTATATATCCCGCCAATCCCCGTCCCCTCCCGTCCTAAGAATGCCTTCCTCTCTCCAGGGCGAATGTTGGATGGGAAGGCCTATTGTAGCCCCCGGGGTTGGACATATGGTGGCCGCGCGCTAAGCGTTCGGTTGCGGCCATATCAAGTGGAAAATACTGTTTCCCGTCCGATCAACGTTAGTCAAGCCACTTAGAGCCACAGTGAGTAATACAGTGGGAGACCATGTGTGAAATTGTGGTGCTGCAATCTTTTTTGGAGCCAGTGCGGGAGGCAGTGCGCAGCACGGCCGACCATTACCGCTGTGTTGAGCGCAGCACGACCCCTGGAGGCCGCGGGGCCTCACTTACTTTTTCGGCCCTGTTACATTTTTACTTTTTCGCTATTTCGCCCTATTTCGCCCTATTTGCGCGAATCCCGTAGCCTGAGGATGGCCCTAACTTCATCAATAATCCCCACTTTGGCCCTAAATTCATCAGTATTTTACCACTTTGGCCCTAAATTCTTCAGTATTTTACCACTTTGGCC